ACAATGATACTATTAATGGTAATTACTTTATTTATAGTTATTAATGTTAATAAGAGATGGCGCCTAACACTTACCTCTAGAGCCAAATTGGTTACGTAATTTATTTAGTAATTAGCCTTAAACTAGCCCGATAGATTTTCGGCATTCGGTTGGTATGTAGCTTCATTGTATATCGGGCTTAGAGATGTTTGATCAATGATCTCTACAATGACACCCTTGCCTGTCATTTCTGACAGGTGTTGAAGAAAAGAGAAAAACAGATCACCTTGGACATGTTTTTCAAGAATCCAGCTGCCAAAAAACAAAAGATGGAACAAGAGGAGTTGACCGTGCAAGCTCTGGTAGCCTCTCCTAAATCTGACTCCGATTAAAAATAATAAAAAGGGACCTGCTGCAATGTGTAAAAAGTCTATCTGTATGAATGTGTGAAGAAAGTGTTCCTCCATGTCCTCCTCACATCTGACTACCAGGCATAATTGATGACTACTCCATTTTCATTTTCTTTTTAATGGTACAGTACGGTTATTTTATGCTGTGGAACAAATTATATGTTTTAACATGTATTTCTATGGGAAAAAGCATTTCGTATAACGGACTTTTCACTTAACGGACATGCACCTGGAACGGATTAAGTACATTATACAAGGCACCACTGTACATATATAAACATTAATAATTAGTAATCATTATTAATCCATACTGGTAATTAATGTGAAAAATTAATTTTTGCAATGATTTCATCAGCAGATGTGGTGGAAGAATTGAACATATTCAGTTCTTTTGCAAATTGCTAAACAAACACTCAAGTATTCAAATATTGCAACTCCCTAACAAATTAGTTTTGCCAAATCCTGTATTTGGCAAAACTAATGCTTTGTTTTCATTTCCTTTAAATTTAATGGAATAATATACAAGCAAAAGAAAGGAGTTCCCATGGGAAGTCCTATGTCAGGACTCCTATGTGAACTTGCAAATAGGAAATTGGAAAAGATCATCATCAAAGATTTCTCCAATAGCATTATAATACACAAATGCTACTTTGATGAGGTATTAATAATTTGGAAAGATGATTAACACATTAATGATTTCTTAACTGCAATCAACGACAATGAGCATTGGTTGAAGCTAAAATTAGAACAAAAAAGCCGAAAGAACCTCTATTTCTTGGATATTATCATAGAATTTAAACTAGGAAATATACAAACGGCCATATATTTGAAACCCACACACGCTCCTTTATACATACCTTCATGGTCGAAGGACCTGTATAAATATAAACTAACTGCATTTAAGGCACTTATCAAAAGGGCCTTCTTGTACTGCACCAATGTGCAAGACCGGAACAAGGAAATTGATAGAATTCAAAAGGTAGCAAGGAGTTTAGGATACAAAATGTCCACAATCAGAGGCCTTATCAAGAGCTACGATAAACAAAAAACTACAACTACAATGCATAATAACACTACTTCATTCAACAAGTTCACATACAATGAACAAAGAAAGTAGTGAATGAGTTGGAAAAATAAAAAAACGTAAAGATAATTTACAAACAAGCACCCAAAATATATATATTATTAAGGAACGATAAGGACAAAATTAGAATGGAAGAGCAAGTGGAGTATACAGTATCCCTTTTGAGAACCAACAATTAGGAACTGATTAGGAGTTAGGAATTGATTAGAAATTGTATATAGGGGTGACCTGAAGAAATCTTACGGTACGTGTAAAGGAGCACAAATATAGTGTTAATAAAGGACTCAATAGCACGATATTGGCAAGTATGGCACAGTCAGATGGAGCAGTAGTCAAACGGGATGAAGCAAAGATCGTTAGAATGGGGCACTCATTGTCCATCGTGATGGAAATGGAAAAAATAGAGATTTACAAAAGTAAAATGATGCTTAAATGCAAAAGATGCAAATGCATTACCAATGGCTTGGAAATACAAAATTGAAAAAAGTATGGGTTTTAATAATCCATGAAAATATGATCTGGAGATTATAGGAATTAGTATTTAGTCTTGTTTAAATTTGATATAATTTTTGTTTTTTGTTAAGTTGCAACACATTTTGATATTATTTTAGTTAGCTATTTATTTACTCTTGTATATACATAAGTTGTTAAAACATTCAAATTCAAATGAAACAAATTCGAACAAATTGGTTCCATTTGGAATGATGAATGTAAATGCCTGAAGATGGCCTATCAAATTATTTCCAAATCAATATTTTTTTTTTACAGTAAATTTTAAAATCATCATAAAAATATGGTTGCATTCTCAAAAAGAAAAAATAATGACAAAGATCAGTCAAAAAGTACAAAATTGTCACCTTTTTGCAAAAAACTGGTGCATTTCTTAAATAAATTTTCATTAAAAAATTGCATGACTATTGTTATAAAGAAATTGTGTTTTTGAACACTAAAAGTCCATTGATCACAAACAGTACTGAATGAAAGTACTAAGATAAACACATAATTCACCAAAAACAGTGCATACACCTGTGCACAACATTTTTTTTGTTTCTACTATATTTTTTTAAATATGTATTCTGTATTCTATTTGATTTCAGAAACTCCTGAAGACGAACATTTAAAATGGCAAAAAATTTTTGTTTTACATTAATTTCTTGTTTGTTGTTGCTGGTTTTTGGTGATTTGTATATTTATCTTACTAAAAAGTCCATTCATTAGCACTGTGTTAAAAATAGGTCATTGTGACAATGCCTATCATATTTGACTGATTTTATTTCCATTAATCAATGTATTACATCAACTTTATAATTCTATACAAACTATGTGCTTAAATTAAAGTATTCTTTTAATTTAAAAATGTTTGATATTAATTTATTTAAAGTGTTGTACAGTAAATTATACAGAAGGCCTATTTAATTATTTGTATGATTTAGTTAGACTATTTCAAACTATACAGTAATAATTATTAATTCATTCATAAAATAATTTTTATTTTATGAATGAATTAATAAATGTGTGCTGATGTGTAACAATTTTGGAGAAATTTTGGGTCTTGAAAATATTCTTCACCCCTGCATTTATATTATACATACAGTAATTTATTAAATTATATTAATAGTAAAATAACATAATAATGTAATGCTTGTTTAAGCATATTATTATTAATAGTTATTAATATATATATATACACACACACACACACACACACACACAAAACTACATTTATAACAGATTTATAACATAATATGAAGATTACAAATTTTAAATTACTAATCATTAATATTTGAAAAAGTATAAAAATTTCATAAACACTTACTGGTGGATAATCAAAATCTGGTGAACTTGCTACATCTTGAATATAATCTACTCTCCATTGATTTTCAGCATTTTCTAATTGCACAGAAGGAACTAATGTACTCATAGCTCCAGTTATTGTCTTTAAACACAAGAAAAAAAGTAATTGAAATTTATAATATTAGATAATTAAAAATTAACACTTAACTTATATAGATTAGTTATACTTTCTTTTTAATCAGAATCTTTCATTAAGATAAAATTTATAAAATTAATCAATTGATCAAACTTTATTGATATAAAGTTTAATTGATTGATTGAGTGATACCTTTGCTCTTTACAAGTGGAAGAAAATTAGATATTAGCAATTTTACAATCTTACATTGAAAAAAAAACCATAATTTAAACATTTAAACAAAGAGATTAGTTACATGTTGAAAAATTATAATTTTTTTAAAGAACCAACAGAAAACTTTTATTACTATATGTATTATAAATGTCAAAATCATCACTAAATATCATCACTATAATGTAAATTTGTTAAACAAATACAGGATTTCAACAGGTGAACAATTAAATTTTCACATTCTTCTTTAGAACAAAAAAGAAAGGTGATTCTTTGAAAGATCATGTCATAACATTTATTGATTAAAACTCTAATTATTTAATTACAGTCGAATTATCAGTGTATTAATCCTAAAATTAATGTAGTATAATTCCCAAATAGCAGACACTGTCGAGATCAAGAAGTTTGTCCACTATTAGAGGCGCCCGTTATTCTGCAGTGTTTGCCGGTGGCCATATTGTATTTTAACCTGTTATTATAAAGTGAAGAATACGATGGATTGCAAAAACATCAGATTTGCATTAAAAATATGAAAATACCAAAAAATATATGTATGTATATAATTAAAATATACACAGAGTATATTATTTCTCTTTCCAGCAGTAAAAATCACATTTTAATTGAATTCTATTTAATAGCAAACAGAATTGTATACGATACTTTAATTAAATGAAACATAAAAATTATGATAAACCGTAAACATTGATTAATTATTAATTCATTAAAAATGACCTGAGCAGAAGGAATGAAAAAGAAAAATGAAATTGTTATTACAAACAGAAGAGTAGATAAAGGTCTATTTAGGAGACAAAGAGTTTGAATCTCGAGTTACAAAGGCAATTTGCTACCCACTTCAAGGGATGGGAAATGTATTTAGTATTCTTGCATTTATAATGTCATTTATGATCTAAGCAACTAATAAAAATCAATATAGCAATTTGTCTACTTTGTAGCTATTGAGTACGTGTAATTTTTCAAACATTTTTGCTTTTTTTCAATAAATGATTTATTAAAAATTACTTTAGCTACCATAAAGCTGTTAAGATCAAAAAATGATGTCATAAATGGCAGAAAACCAAATATCTTCCTACACTTTAAAGTGGTTGGAAAATCGCCTTTGTAACACGATCCCTTAACTTTCACCAAATAAACGCTGTTGCCTTAACCTTAAAACCATTTCTTTTTCATTACTACTATACTACAGTATTTCAAGTACAGTTCTGTACTGTACCTGTCCAATGAATGAATAACTTTTCTAAAGTTTATGTTTCTTGGTACCACATGCTTAATTCCAACATTAAGACAGAAGTTTAATAACATTAACATGTATGAAAATAAGTGATGATTGACAACTAAACCAGATTAGTCTTCTCTAACAGATAAAGAATACTGTTTGGCTTTTTACAACCTTCCCTACTCCCCCATTCCTATTTTAATAACAAGTTCCAGTATTCAAATATTGTAAATTTCAATTTTTGATTTAAAAAAAAAAGTTGTAAAAATCATTTAGTAATATGGGCACAAAGTTACACTTATTTTTAACTGAATAAATATTTTGTAAAGAAATATTGAACTTAAGATAAGATTAGGGCACTCACCATTGAAAAATTAAGTTTGCCGATATTACAACATACAAAGTGACAATAGGCTGTGCGATAAATGCTTATAAAAGTTTTTTTTTAAATAATTAAATAAATAATAATAATAATGCAAAGTTATCTGAACAAAATTTATTGTGGAAAGATAATTAATACTAATTTGTAAAATAAGTGGAATCATAAATTATAAAACTTCACAACCACTGGCAACCAAACAAGCCAATACAAGGACAGACTGTTTCTTAAAAAGCAAAATAATATAGACTTGTATTGAATATGCAAAATGCACTCGTACTCACTATGCTAGAAGACTCTTAATGAACATGAACAATGAAAAAGAAGACATCTGAAACTGTACTAGATTATTCCATAATTTGCTTACAATTGCATGACATTGTCCAAGCAATTACCTCATTGAATGGCAATCTTGGATTTTAACTTGATCCATGGCTGAAAACTGTCATACTGTGTGTAAGTAATATTTATTATAAAGTTAAAACACATCAAGTAATATAAATGTTTTTTTTTTATTGGCTTCAAGCTGGACAATCAGTACACAAATAATGAATGCCTCAAAGCACATCTAAAAAAATAAAAGAGAAAGTGTGTATTGCTATTTCTTTTAAGTTTCTACAACTTGGTTATAATAAACTTTATTTAATTCAATTTTCCTTGACTTCTTTAAGATGGTATTGTCCCCCCCAGGATTACAGTGTGGATCTGCTCCTGAATCAGCTTTGATATTATCATTTAATTCACCTGAAATACCCTGTATGCCTTTTCACCTGAATATCAGTAATTTACCGAAATTATTACAAAAGTTGCTTCTAGCCCTTGATATAATTATATTAATTAAATTATCCACAACCGTAATCTTAAACCCTAACGACTTGGTTACAACTGTTAATGGTCTTGATAACAACATTAAATTTGAAGTTGAGAACAAACTTCACAATAAATTACCATTCCTGGATGTTTTAGTTACTAGACATTCTAATACCTTTGAAATAGAAAATTACAAAAAATCTTGTAGCGTTAATAAAGTCATGGACTACCACTCATATACTCCCCTGTTCATAAAAAGAAACATTTTTGTCAATTTCATCAAAAAGATATTTAATAGAACTACCTCCGATTACAAAAAGAATATTGAGATCACGGACATTGTTAAGACTTTCTTATTAAATAATTACCCAAAAGTACTTCTAGACAAATGGCTAAAACAATTTAAGTGTAATAATAACACCAATGTCCATACCGCTAATCCCGTTAACAACAATGATACAAAAAAGTTCTTTAAACTTACTTATGTCAAAAATATGTTTGTGAAAATTAAAATGGTCTTAAACAGTACCAACACCAATTTAGTCCCTGACCTTTGTAATAAAACCCAAAAATACATCCAACCAAACCATCCAAACAATATGGTTAATGTTTTTAAAAAAAGCAATGTGATATACAGGTTTAACTGTAACTGTAATAACCCTATGACCTATGTAGGTGAAACAAAAAGAACACAAATGCCATCAAATACAATTCTGAATACTCTGCAGTTGCCAAACACTGCAATCTATACGGATGTAAAATTGATAAAAGTACAATAAAAGCAATAAAATTTAAAACTAACACCTATAAACATAAATATTTTGAGCATATAGAGATTTTGAAAATTGATGATGTTAATAGAATTAATGATAATTTAGGTGTTAAAATTGACGAAGGATGGTATAATTATATCCTTTAAAAACTAAATATCTTTGTGATGTTACGACTATATATTGTTAAAAACCATTGGGAACTTGTAATTGTATCATATGTTGTCACCACTTGTACACCAGATGTGGACTGTTACACACCTCCCTTACTATTGATACCACTCTCAGCACCTTGTTGTAAGCTGGCACCTGCAACTATGTTGTCTTACTGTTTTTGGTATGTACATTATCTGTCTGTGTAACTTTAGTTCATAAGTGTAAACCAATAATTGTCTAACTTATAACTACAGTGGGACCTCAGAATACGAATGCCCCAGCATACGAAATTTTCAGGATACGACATGAAATTCGAACATATTTTTGCTCCACAATACGAACAAAAACTCACCATATGATGTTACATTAGTTCGCAGTGCCATTTTTTATTCATTTCTGTTCATTGGTCTCAGTCCACATGTTTGCTTCGTCGTGTAAGGATCTCACTCGATAAAGGAAATCTTGAGGTATTATCAGAAAGTGACTGATTTTATTGAAAAGAAACATCCCGAAAAGGTTCACACTGGCCATGTTGCTGCTCGGAGTAATGACATTTGCCTAAGTCATTTTAGAAACATTTTAAAAAGTAGGCAAAGCCAAACCTCTTTGGATAGATATTTTACCAAGCGACCTCTATCCAGAGTGCTGGTAGAAGTGAAGGAAAGAAAGCAAAAAGTAGTGAATAAAAATAAAAAAATATATATATAAAACAACACTAATTTTTTTTATCTTTTCTAAGTTATTTTTAAGTTACTGTTACATTATGTTATGTAAGTTAAGCTTTAGTATCATTTCCCTTCTCCCTCTCTTCCGCCACCAATTTACACCTCCACCATCGTCTATCCTCAAAGGTAAAGTGCAAATAAAACTATATATTTTTTTTTCAATTATTATTCTATTACGATTATTTATACATTTACAACTACAAAACGCATTTTTCAGTGTTTTCCTTACTATAGTTATTATTATTATTTTTTTAATGTACGGTAATACCCTGAACTTACGCGATAGGTGGGACCGAGCGATAACCGCGTAAGTCGAGGTATAATTTCTCAATGTGTGTAAAATCCAAGTCGGATGTATGTAAGCTAATAAATGTTCTCGTTAATCTTATATCGTCTTTTGATTCATTCATTGTTACAAGAAATCACCACATAGAGTCTCTGAAGGCTCCATAGATATAACAAACACAGAAATAAATAACACAAAATAAATTGTAGCTATGTGTCGATTCCGCGCACATGTCCGAACCTGTAAGCTGAACAATAGTGTGGGGGGAATGAGTAATCCAGAGTTGCGTGGCGCTCAAACAAAAGACGAATCGACGAGATTTGAAAATCGCGTAACTCCAGGTTCGTGTAAGTCGGGGTAGCGTAAGTCAAGGTATTACTGTATTACTTAGCTTTAATTTGAGTGTGTTTTTCGTGTTGGAACGAATTATTTGGTT